GAGAACAGAGATCAGAGTATGTGGCGAATACAATTCGTCGCATCATAGATTTCCTCAACATATGATGACCGCTCCTCGTGGAACTCGTCTCTAGAAGGGGGGGTAATGTCACGGCCATAATCATGTAAGCTAATAATTACATATAGAAATAGGTAGAAGTAAGTAAAAGTAGATAAAAGTAAGTTAATTCTATAATATTTAATATAGAAGCTTCTTAGAAACTTCCTAGACGCTGCTTTGACTTCATAGGTGTCTTTAATTGACTTTTTGGATTAGAAACGTGGTCAACAAGTTGGCCATGTGCCACACATGTTGTTAGCTTGAAGATCAAGCTAACTATGTGGCCCACACGTAGAAAAACTTGCCTTGTAAGTCAAGGCATGTGTCCTACAAAGTCAATACATATTGGAGGTCCTATAGAACGTCGCCACGTAGCCCCTAGTTAGATAGTATATATAGAGACAAGAGTGAAGGCTTCTTCACTCTTGTCAACTCCTTTCTTGCTTCTAGTCTAGTTTCAAGGGTCTCTAGTTTTCTTGTCTTTTGGCAATAGCCATTCTAGTTTTTCTTTTCAATATACATACTTATTATTCATATTTTGTTACTTTTCTTTGAGTGAAGGCTTACTTGTCTGAACTGTTTTTTCATCGAGTTCTTGTCCTTGACATAAGGACAATGTTAGAAATTTTTGAATCTTGAATAGATGTCAAATAAGAGGATAAAATCCTTTATGGTCTTTTGTATTTGATGCCACTAAAAATCTTAAGAGATAATCTCTAATGATTTGTTAAATCCAAAATGTCCTATAGCAAAAACAATCATGACGAGATTGAAGAATACAAAGTTACATTGGTCTTTTTGGAATATATAAATAATCTTCAAAATATAAAAGATCTTCTACAAACTTGAATTTTTCATTGTTAGGGCATTGCTTGATATTACAAACTAATAAATTTTTAATTGATGCTATACAAATTTATTCAAAAAAAACTTGAATTAATAAATATAACTATAGAAATAGCACAAAGACAAAATTGTTCTAGCTTCAAAAGAATGGTATATTATTGATCAAATGCTGCTTCTTTGACCTTTGGAGCAAGATATAATCTTCTTGATAAAGCATTTAATAGACCTTGTTGCTTTTATAGTCAATATATAATTATAAAATTAACAAAAAATAATGACATATTCCAATGAACTTGGAAGGGATTCAAAATCCAAGCTAATATGAAATACTCCAAATTTTTGTGATCTATATATATAGTCACAAGATGTATAATATTTTCTAATAAATAATATTATTCTTAGAAAGAATCTATAATTATAAAAAATTCTTTATTATAAATTTTATAATTGATCTTTACGATTGAAAACTTTTTAGAATAGAACACAACTAGGTGGAGCTTTCCATCTTTTTCTATTTGTGATAATATAACTCCTAATGCAAAATTAGAAGCATGAATCTCCAAATAGAAGACCTTCGTGAAATTTGGATGCAATAAGATTGAAGTTGTCTTAGAATAAAAGTTGCCTTCAAATCTTAAAAAGCCCTTTGTCCTTGAAGTTTTTATTTCAATTTGTCTTTAGATGCTAACCAAATAAGAAGAATAGTAACTTAAGAATAATTCTTGATAAATATTCAATAAAAATTAGCAAATCTAAAAAAAATATTATACATCTCATATTATTTTTGAAGTTATTCATTCTATTATAACTTAAATTTTCTTTGGATCCATCCACTTTTGCTTGATAGAATACACATTTCTCTAATTTGGCATATAATTCTACATCTTGTAACTTTTCCAAGACTAATCTTACATATTCTTCATATTCTTTAAGAATCTTGGAGTAGAATAAGATATCATCAAGATAACAAATAACAAACTTATCTAAAAACTTTCAAAAAATATCATTCATTAAATCCTTGAATATAACTAGAACATTTGTCAATTCAAAAGACATGACATTATATTCAAAATATCCATACTTTATCCAAAATATTATCTTTCATTCATCTCTTTCTTTAATCTATACCAAATTGTATGCTCAATAGAGATCTATTTTGGTATAGATTTTGACTTGACCAAATTGCTCCAAAAGCCGTGATGTCAATTTAGTAGATAACAATTCTTCACTATTATTTTGTTGAGGCCGAAATAATCAATATACATTTGCAAATATCCTTCTTTTTTCTTCACAAAAAATATTGATGCACTTATTAGAGATTTAAAATATCAAATAAAGTTCTTTTCAAGATTTTTATTGATATAATCCTTCAATGCCAAAATTTTATTTTGTGATAGGTTGTAGATTGGACCAAATGGTAGTTGAGCTCCTTCTTGAAGATCAATGGCACAATTATATGGTCAATGTTTTGATAATATATCAACATTCTTCTTTTTGAAGACATCTTGAAATTCCTTGTACTGCTTTGAGATAGCTACTAATAAGCTTACGTCTTCATGAAGTAGAATTACATAAATAATAAATGGAATTTTGTTCTTAGTCATCTTTATAAAAGCTCTTATTCCAAGAAATAAAGACTTTGTTTTTGTTGATAACTTCTTGATAGGTTTTACTAAAAGAAATTCTATAGAGAATTCAATCTTATGAAACCACTAATTTATAGATGGATTATATCTTTTTAAATACAAAAGTCTTAGAATTATAGAATTGGATAGGATTCTAATAATATTGAATATTAATTTGTTACTATGGCCTTCAAATGATATTTTCAGCAATATGGTCTTATAAGTAACATTGCTTGAAGATAAAAGTTGATCATCTATTACTTCTACATATACAAGTTTTAACTTTTGTACTAAAAGAATTTTATGAAGTTTAGAAAATTCCTCATTTAAAAAGCAAGTAGATGCTCTTGAATCTGATAAGGTATTTTTTTGAAGTTTTTATAGGCTAAGAAATAAGATATAGTAAAACAATAAGTAGGCTAGGCAAAGAAAGAAGAACCTTGATGAATTTGAGGTATTGAGATGTCTAGCTATATGGTTCCTATTATACTTGGGTCTCTTTTCTTTTTCCTAAACAATTGTAATTCTAGTCCTGGTTGTATGTTGTTTCTTCACACAATTCTCAAATTTATAACCTACTTCACTACAATATAAGCATAGGCCTTGCTAAAATCAACATTTCTTCTTCTTTATTGTAAGAGATTTGAATCGTATTGCATCAATTTGCATATCTTCAACTCTAGAGTATAAAACTAATATATTTATTGAAGTATGAGAGTATAAATTCTAATATATTACTTTGTCAAAGTCCACAAGTATTAATCTTGATAGTCTTAAAATAATCAATTATTGTACTTTATAGCTTGATTGATAGCTTCATTGAGTGTTTGAAGATCAAGTAATGATAATAATAGATCTTTCATATCATCCCTTAGTTTCTAATAGAATTGGCTCATAAAAGCTTATTTATTTCAATCGATGTTACAAGTGAATTGCCTAAAATCAGATGCAAAAGTTGATACAAAGCATGACTCTTGACGTAATGAGAAAATCTTCATTGTTGCCCATTAAGTCTTGACATGTTTTTCAAATGCCTCTACAAATGCTTCTAAGAAAGCTTCAAAGTTGCTCAAGATAAGAGATTTCTTCTCAAATAAATAAACAAACTAAAAAAAAACTTGTCATGTAAACAAGATTTCAACTAAATCAACTTGCAATTCTTTTATTGGATAGCGCTCAGATTGTAGAAAAGTTACCAATCAAATTTGGTTAACATATCCTTGAAACTTTGAGCATGTACTATCAAACTTTTTTGGAAGACTAATCTGAGGCCTCTTATGTTGTTGAATAGGTGAATTTTCTTATTCAAGTACAAGTGCCACCACCTTCTTAGATGTAGAAGCTTGAAAAAGTGGTTGCATTGCTCCAAGTCTTACATCTCCATGAAATCTTCCAAAAAATCCCTCAATTTCAGTAGTTTTACAAGCTAAAGCATTTAGTGTGTTCATAATAACTTGAACTTGGGAAATTCAAGTGAGTGATACTTCATTATTTTGGACTAAACAAGTCATTGAATAAGTCATTGTACTATATTATGTACTATTGATTCTATTTGTAGTGTGAGATGAAGTTGCCTCAACTGTAAGATCTGGTTGTAATGACATAGCTGAGAATTAACTTCAATACCTCTTTGTCTACTCCACTGCTCTGGGGACCAATTTGGACTGTAGACATATGTTGAGAGAATTGTAGGTATTGTCTGGGAGGATTTGGGAATTTAACTTTGGCAACGTTTCCATTCATTGTATTGGTTGGGCAAAAATGCCCTGCGCTCTACTGTAGACCCATTTCATTTATTGGGTTGGTCACTAGTTGCATGATGGAGTCCTTTAGGTACAGGGAGAGAAATGGGTGTAAGAAGAACTGATGTATAGAACTATCTGGAATTTCATCTCAAATGGGAAATAAGTTTAGTTTTTGGATGTGCACTTGGTGGTGTTTAGTCTCTTGAATAATTGCAGCTGGTAAAGTGGAGCTCGCATGATGATTTGAAGCCCTTAGTCATCAAAAGAAAAGGCCGATACAGCTGGACTGCTCCTTCGTGAGCTCAACAATTACCAACTTCCGCTGAAGATGTTCAAGAATCTTCTGCAGGTACTACTGGTGATGCAATCTATGCATTAGTTGGTAGACGTCGCAGAGTTGAACGTCTGTTGCATGATTTCGGAGTGGAGACTACCGGCACAGTTAATAAAGCTAATTGAAGTTATTCCATTATTCATTTCTATCATTACACCCCTGGACAGGAATGCTGAAGACGCCAGTACAACTCGTACACTGGTAATTTCCTCGAGGCTTTGAGCGATTGAATCATACTGTATAACAGGGTAGAAGGTTGTGGATGTCACATTCGAAGTCAGCATTTCATAAAATGGGCTCACCTACACAAGCTTTAAGGTGAATTGTGATTTTTATTTCACCTATACCTACGTGAACATAGTCTATAATGGTACATTGTTCAGAGGGAAGTGAGTCAAAAATTAGCTTAAGGCGGCTGAGGACAGCTTTGGAACTGATTGATGTTACTACAATCATGAGGATCCTTGTTGATTGCAAGTGGCTCCTCTTTGTATGAAAGTAGATATTACGAAAGAAAAGAATGTTACTTTCGTAAACAGAAGATCTTGAAATTCCCCTACAGTTAGTGAATTGTCCATCAGTTCAGTAGTTAACACGCAGACAGATTCTAAGTCAGGATTTTTATCTGTCGCTGGTTCACATTACAAATCTGTTTTAATCTCAACTTCAGTGTCAACTGCCACAGAAGTTTATATTTATAAGAAAACTGATATATTAATGGAAGTCTATTTACCGATGATACTGTTCAACTTGTAGACAGTGAAGATCTTCGATTCTACTTGTCTTCCTGTAATGTCTGAACTCCACTTCGTAACGGTCAAACCTGCTACTGACACAAGCTGCTGAAAGAATATTGAGAACTGCATTTTCTGCATTTCTGGGATGCTAATTTAGTCACAAGGACTAATGATAAAGTCCTAGTTGAGTGAAGTCTGGTTTGGGAAGAGCTCATAATCGAGCACATGATGCGCAGGCGTTCCTCATTGTTGTAGCAGCGTCCTGATGAGCCACAAGTGATTTGATCACCTCTGAATTAATCCACCTGATAATGTTCATGGCTAGTCTTCGGGTAACTAGAGCTCCTCCAACTTCAGGTGCTAGATACCGATCTGATTCTGAACCCTTGAAATCGAACCTCTGCCTTCATGGAAATGTTCCCTCAAAGACTACTGAAATTAAATAGAATGAGATATACAGCAGTGGTTACGGAGAGAAGGGAATTTCGGTAGCAGGCAACCAGGATGGGCCCTGAATGAACGAGCTCACAGAAAAAGCCTGAGCTTGAGATGTCGAAAGCTGACTTGACCATGTAACACGGTTGTTGATGGTGGCGGCACCAGGACCATAGGTTCCATACTCGGCAGCAAATAGGGTAGAGAGAGCAAAGTTTCCGTTCCATGGCAACCAGCCCGAGGGATCGATGATCTGATCGATATATGTTCTGATAAACACGGTGCGGGAGAAAGTTTTCCATGGTCTGCCGAGGAAGGCCTGGTGTGCTTGCCGATTAGATTGAAACAAGGCCACGTATTCAGGCGTTCCAAGGATAGAACAGTCTTGGAAGACGAGCCCAGTGGTTTGACCAGAATCTGTTCTACCCTGCAATTAAATCAGATGGAGGTACAATAAGTTTGGGTAATTTTCAGGAAGACCTTTCACTAATTCAGGACGAAGTGTGATACTTCAAATTGGATTTTCTAATAAAGTTCACGAAACAAGACTTTGAAAACAAAGCAAGAGTACTCGTGCGTTACCTGAGCTGTCACTGTGCTGGTGGTGGCTTCAGGCGCTCCAACACGAACCACCAACTGTGAGTTTTGGAAGAGGGCAGCAGAGTTTCCAAAAATAAAATCAACAGTACCTGAAACATACACATCCTTGTAAAACTGCCGTAACGAATGCGTGTAAAGAGAGTCCTGGAATCCCACAACGGCGCAGTTCTGGAAGGCGGACTGATCGCTATTTACTCTCAAGGCCACTGCTTGACGTCCAGCAGGGCCTGCGGTGTTCTGGAATGTTATGCCACGAGCTATGAAGCCAGAACCACTGACAGCTGCAACAACAAACGTCACGAACCAAGTCTCAAGTTTCTGGATTGGCAAGCTCAAGACTTCGAATACGACAAGGGAATGTTTATTTTAGACAAAGAACCCGCTCAAATGAGCACATTTAAACCTCTCATACACTACACAGTTAGACAATTCCAGCAAACAATTCACAACGCACCATTGCAAACAAAGTAACATTTATAACCTTTCTATACGATCATGTTGCACCGATTGATTGTTTATCTGATGTTAGAGAATCGGTTAGAAATTACGAACCAACTGTCGCTGTCGCCCAGGTGATCATGCCTGGTTGTGAATCACTCAAGCTGCCTGTTATAATTGTCTTATCAGTTCCATCTCCTAAGAACATGAGATTCGTCTTCTGCTTAGGAATTCTCACCACCTCGTTGTAGACTCCTGTCTTGATGTAAATCACGTATCTAAAGGCGCACAACGAGTTGAAGACAGTTGGTTTTCAGTTCCTTGGAGCTAAATGTCCAGGACAGACTTCAAAATAATTAATGTTTCTAATGTAAAATTTTTTATCCTTACATTATCACATCCAAAACCTTTACATTACATCAACTGAGACAATCTCTCTGCTGCACACCTCATCCTAAGTTCTTCGAATGCCCTGTGCTAGAAGTTGATGAAGAAAAAAGGAAACATGAAAGTACAGCTTCAAGCCTACGTCTGAAACCCTGAGCGCATTCCTAATGCCTTCCTCAGTTACAGAAACCATGCTTTCTTAGCAACACAGTAAATCCATTTTTAACACAGCAACCATCTTGCTGTTGACAGAAACTAAGTATCGGTTGAATGAGACCTACCTCTGTGTGCTCCAGTCTGGAGCAAGATCTACCGCACGCTGGATACTTGAGAACGCAGAATATATATCAACGGTGACAGAAGGAGATGCAAGAAGTGTCCCATTAAGGAGGTTATGGTCTTTGACATTGAGCCACTTGGGCGTCGAAACCGCAGCGCTCAGCTCGTGCTGTGCGACGAAGCTCGTGGTCTCATAGAGCATGTGATCCTTGCTAAGAGGAGGTGGCTTCCACAGAACGGTGTTGGGGCCGTAGTTCACAAGCGCGTCGGTCATGGCAAGAGCGTTGCTTATCATCTCTTGAGATGCGTCCAGTCGTCCTTTCATCTCGCTCACGAAGGGCAGCGCAGTGGAAGTTTGCCCAAGGCCGGCACTGCAGTCAGTCGTAAACGTGAGAGCCCCACTGAGCCATGCCTGCACGTCGTTTAGAAGCGGCCCATTGACAGCATTTTCAGAGTTTTGGGTATGGAACGCGGCCAAATCTGTCCCTTCACTGCACATTTTGGAGATGGAGATGAGGTTGATATTGCCTGAAGTGGCTGATTGTGCAGCTAATGTCTGGCTGTCAGCTTGCGAAATTGTTGCATAACGATGGGCTACTCCGATTGCGATGGCTACTAATTCTCGTGGTACGGCAGTAGCCGATCGAGGATCACTGTTCAATGCTCTCAAACAAGAAGCCGGATACCTTGTGGCAGCACAAGCCTCGGTGACAGCAACACTGGTACCACTGCCAGGCGCTACATCCTTCTGATGATGCTGCTTGTGGTCATGACGCCAATGTGGGTAGGACTTGAAGTGACTCTCGGGCATCACACTCGCTGCATTGAGAAGAGTAGAGATTAGCAAAATGAAGACTACACTAGCGGCCATCGATGCCATCCTTTCTCACCGCTCGCCTTGTCCCTGACTAGCTCTCCCACTAAAATTTCTCACATCGTCCGCATCACACTTAGCGCTGCAGCGCTACAGACCCTTGAGCTTCTATATTCGCAAGTGAGAATAGGCAGCACTCAAACTGACATGTGACTCATTTCTCCATCGACCTGTCAAACCTATGACCTCAAAGCCTCGCCATGACTTCGACCCCACCTCACGAGCGCGCGCGTGCAAACCAACACTGCTAGCTCTAGATAATTCCTTTCCTCTCTGTCTGGATTTCTTCGTCACGGGATCATTTGGACGTATATGAGGTTTCACCTAAATCCAGCGCGGCTGCAGCACATCGTACTGCAGGTCACGTAAGACAGGTCGACCATATCTACAAACACAGAAATAAACTCCCTAATAACTGAGCAACTAGGATGTCCTGTCGCCAATCTGGTGCCTCTGCAGCACATGATGAAGACGGCCAGGTTGTCACTAATGTCAGGCGTCGGAGTATTCATGAGGAGTGTCAGTGAGACTCATCGTCGTGCTATGCCGTTGAGGGATTATCCTACCATAGCCCTGTCACCATCCCTCTGCGACGGAGCCCTCACAGTTGGAGGTCATTCTCTGACCAGCTCGCCATCGCCGTGCAGCAGCTGTATGACGTTGTAAAATCGTAACTGCTGCTGGAAGGAGAGCTCATCCTGTCCACACTTGATCTCTCCTTTTGTAGGCCGCATATATTAGATCGCTTGCATACTTGATAATGCAACTGCAAGCTGTGTGAAATCATTCAACCAATGGATTTCAGATTCAATTCCAAGTTAGCATTTTTACAAGCTCTTGAAGGATGATGCATATTGGAGTATAATACTAATATGCTGCTGTGTGGATAGCGATTAACGGCACTCGCTAGGTATTGAACGGAACAAATCACGTATAGTTAATATTGATGTGCCGTGGCAGGTGACTGGCTCCTGCACGTATCGACATTAGTCAATACTAAATTCTCCCCTCGTTTAATTATCGCAACTCAGAACACGACTGCCTTCATACCCTAGCATCAATCAACAGCAATACTGTGGAGTGTACCTACTATCCCTTTCATACCGGCAACTTGCTACCTTGTAAATATTTAAGAAAAATTGTTCCTCACCACAAAACTTAAACCTCCAGTAGATTTCCGCAGAACTATTTCCGGATCGAATCAATACCGTTTTCTCATCATTTCGATACATTCACAATAGAAACACCTCACCATGATTTTCTGAGTCCTAACATTCCTTTTCATTATCACGAACTGCTGGTTGCAGTGGATTAAAACCATTCTCACCCACACAGGAGAGCCCACATCATTGCTACTGTCTACATTTTATTTCCGGTTGATGAGGACTCAACTTCGATTTCCAAAAACTATTTCCAGAGTGTGCATTAAGGAAAGCATGTCCAAAAATTTCTCTCATTCGCTTTCATGCGTTACCATTCGTGAGTGTGCATGGGGTTGGACTTACACACCACAAAACGGTGTTGCTTTGATACTTTTGCAAGTTAAAGACTTTCTCATTCACACTTGATTAACACTGGTTAACACTGTTCTACATTCATACTAAGTGGCCATGAGGTAGTCTTCGTAAGAATTTCTGATGTCCACATCAGTGTGATAGCAATCTCTAAGTCATTGAAATTTGCTTATTACAATGACTTCAATACAGAAACTAAACATGCATTAACCATTGTGTGTATTCTGCGTATATTACTTCTGGAAGAAATGAAGCGGAAACCCACAAGTTCCTAAGGCAGGGGGCAGTGTCAATGTGATATGCTTGCGTGATTCTATGATTATGCAAACCTAAATTACTGTAGCCTAATGCACATTCCTAAATAATCCTCTCTGCATGTCTGGGTTGTGAGGTATCTCACAATCAGGTGTTTCTCTCATTCAAGGACTGCATAGAACATTAGGGCAAGAGATATCTTCCATGCAACCAGAAAAAGCTTCGTGTCTCCAGGAACTAGGCTTGGTCATTTAGTCCTGATGAAATTGGCACACGCCCTGCCTCTTAAGTCGAACAAGGGGACTAAGCAGGATGGAGGATGTCTGAAGTAGAGTTAAGAAGCGATTTCAGGTTGAGCCAGAGTCTCAGGTATTTCCTCTCGTTGTCCTGTTTGTTGCCGTAATAAATTAAGCGTTTCTTCATTGGGAACGAGTTTGTCAGCTAACATGCGCTGCAAGAAGCCAAGAGCTGGCACACGGCTTTTGATGTATGCCTTTAACAATATATTGTAAACCTGAATGTTAGGTCTTGGGTAGGCTTTCTTGATATCTTGGAACTGTTTCTCAGCACTGATTACGTCCCCTCTCTCAGCATATGCATCCAAAACAGAAATCAAAGTTTCAACCCACAATCTGCTTCGACCCTGTTTAGAGTCACCTTGTGCCTCTTTCATTACTGCCAACGCCTTGTCAAGCTGATCCGTCTTCAAATACCCAGTCACTAGGTGATGATACGTGACGGCATTCTTCTTTCGGCCCAATTTCACCATGTCCTCCACAAGCTTTTCAGCCTTTTCCATCAAACCCTGTCTCGCATACGCACTCAATAAAGAATTGAACTGACGACTAAGGATCAAACCCTTTGACTTGCTCATAATTCCATATAATTCCTCTGCCTTCTCCACCATACCCAGCTTTCCAAATGCTTCAATAACTGTTATGTAACTCCTGTTCGAAACAACAGGGCCGCTCTTTACTTTCTCCCAAACCCGTTCAACACCCTCCTGGTCACCAACAGCACCATACTGTGAAATAAGAATATCATATGCAGAGCGATTCCTGAAGACATCACCTTCTTCCATCTCCTTTAGATAACTCCTGGCTTTATCTAGTAAGCCAGCATGAACACAGAAAGTCGCCAGGGTGCCAAATGTTGCTGCATCTGCCTTCACATTCTCATCAGCACTCAACTCCTCGAATATTTTCTCCATTCCTTCAATATCACCACTCCTAGCTTTCACATCCATCAAAATATTGTAGGTGTATACATCCTTTGGAACACCATGTGTCTTCATATCCGCCAATATCTCTGTTACTTTGTTCATCATCCCCTTCCGCTTGTATAAAAGCATCATCTGGTTAAAAGCAAATGGCAGAGTGAGAATGCCTGTACCCTTCAGCTTCTCCAACAAAGCATCAGCTTTCTGTGCCATTTGATAATCCGCATAATTCCTTAAAAGAGTGTGGTAAGCAAGCTCTGTCTTGAATTCGGGAGGAGAATCTTCCAGCAGCTGCTCCGCAACAGCGAACTGTTTCATTTTAGCCTTGAGATCGATTCGGACAATGTTGTCTGCCATCTCCCACTTGATGTTCTTCTCTTCTGACATCCAATCGGATATCTGCAGAACATAATGCAACTATGAGACGAGCTGGACATTCACAGCAACAATATAATGAGAAGAACATTACAAGCCTTGGTCAGAAATTGAGTTTAAATAATAAGCATAATGAAGATAACCTGCTTATTTTAAATAATCAACTACAATATGTCAGGCAGGATATTCACCTCCATAGCTTGTTTGTATCGCTGTCTGCGTCTAAGACGTATCAATATAGAAACCAGAACTCGCTTATCAAGTGCATATCCCTCGTTAAGCCACTCCTTAATAAGGGGTACAACCGACTTTTGTGGGCCTTGTTTCGTACTCTCAATTTTTTTCCACAAAGCTTGTTGGCTTTTGTATTTTTCTTCATCCAAAACTTTTATATCAGATGCAAAACCTTCAAGCGCACCTTCTACATTTTTTTCAAGATCAAGCCCATCTGCATTGTCATCCGCCTCATTCTCAGCGTTGGGAACGTCCTCAGATTTTCCTTCCTCAACTCCCGAATATGACTCAACTTGCGTAGAGAACGATCGGGAGCTACTTTGCTCTGGGACACACCAACTGTAGCCAACTCTATCCTGGCTGGGTGTAACACATCCGAGCCTGCGCGTCGTTGACGATGAGGACTTTGGCACTCCAGGTGAATATTCTCCACTGTTAACTATTTGAGCAGAACTTCGCTGGGCTCTGCAAAAAAAATCACCAATAATATATTAAGCCATCTGACAGCGTGCTGTTAACTAAGAACGCAATGATCTGAGGGAAATTTTACTATTATTATTATCATCATTCTAAAAACGATACAAATTATATAAAATATAACAAAATAACCGCTTTGTGACTTGCTGATCAATGAAAAAAAATTAAAAATTGAGTAGGCCAGAAAAGTTCATCAATTTCAGCAGAGCATTTTCCACACGATAAAGAAATCACCTAACCGAGTTTACCACAGTCTAGCAACTACATAAGGTTCTAACAGTTCAAACACCGCATTAAATAACATTTGAACAGACCATCACCTACATTAGGTGATAAAAGTGCCGTAGAAAGTAGGCCTGTTTTACAACTACATCAAAAGCAAGAGATAAAATAAAAACATACCGCTGCAAATAAGCAGCACGTGCTGCTCTCCACACTTTCGACATTGGGTTACGTCAACTTGTTCTGAAGTACCAATGAACGCACAATGTTAGTACAGAGATAAACGCGAAGAATCGTCTGAATTAGTAGTCGAGACGATGTAGAGCTTCACCCATGGACAACCTTGCGAAGAAATAAAATAAAATATTTGAGCAACAGGTGATGGCCAAGGTTCCATACAAGCGCCCCAGAAATCTTCATGAGGTAAGAGATATCTTAAATACCGCGCAGAACTATAAACCCCAATCACGACGTCAAACGTAAACCCTGATCACCTCATCACATTGTCTCCTGCTCTCAAATTAGCCTCTTATCGGCCACTACATGAATTCAATTCAGATTCTGACGCTGATATGTAACCCCGTTGAGCGAACCTGACGTACCGAATTGCGAGACTAAATGTACGTAACCTCACCATAAATTAATGGAAGCCCAGATTGGAGCTGTTATAACAGTACTGCGTAAGAAGCACTTCATTTACCAAGAGAATGAAAATTCAATCGGCAAAGACACTTGGAGTGTCATTTGTGGAACATATGGTCTTAAAACGATAAATAAAAACATGGCCATCACTTTCTGCAACGTCTAAACGCAATTAAGGACGAATTTTAAATTCTTCAAGATTCTTAAGCCACTAGATTTCGAAACGGCCTCGTTTCAGGATTTCTACGAAGGAAACAACTCTAAACCTAGATTATGGTAAAATCTTACGTCAAACTCCTTCAACCCTCCTTTCAAACTGTACAGAATGCTGTGAACTGAATGCCATAGATTCAAGGAATGAAGAAAAATAAGCGAAACTCCCCAAAAAAATATTGCTTTGATCCTTCTCTAAACCGAAGCAGCCTTAAACCCTAAACCCTAAAGCCATGATCTCGCGGGGAGCCATCTCTCTCTCTCTCTCGCTTGTCAGATTTAAGTAAGAAAAATTCTGGAGAGACAGACCAACTCAGATCGAATGCTCAAACACTTCCAATCGCAAGCGGAAAAAGAAAACACTAAACCCAGAAGAAACTTAAACCTTGGTACTCCTTCGGATTAAGTATTGGAATGAAATAAGACCTGAAGAAGAGGATTGCAGGGCACTGGATGAAGCGATCGCGCACATCAACAACCTGAAGAAAGAAGGGGAAGATGGGAAACTTGGCAGTGGCAATCCGGCGATGCAATTCCTGGGCGATCTGGTGCACCCGAAGCCCAAGGAATCAACCAAGCCCACGGACCAGTTGATGTATACGAAACCCTAAATGACCTGAGGAAAACCGGCAGCGGGGTGGAAGGGCGGGCGGGCGGCACCATCGCCAGCCCGGTCAGACTCTAATGCCATCTCAGCAGTTGCAGAATCTACCACGTGGAAGCGCCACATCAACCCTGCAGGGTATCGGAAGGCCTCCACCAATTTCCCGCCTTCCACGGTGGATCGTGCAACCCATGCTGGAATTGCCACGTCATCCCGACCCCCATCTCCTGAGCTTTCCTCAGGGGTTTTCTGAGGGGGATCTTTAATGCAGAAGAGGATGCTGATGAAAGAGCACACTGCTTAACAATGTATAATTGAATGTGTATAAAATAAATATTTAAACAAAATGAAGGACCGCTGTGGAAATTTTATTACAAATAAAATAAAATAAAATAAAATCTAATTACTGCTATAAAAACACAGTCTAACCAGTTGACATGATCATTTTCTTTTCAAATAAACGATGTAGTTAAATCTGGATGGCATATAGCAATTGGTAATTGTTTGTAATATGAAACAAAGTATTTTCTCTCAAATATATTCAATCACCTTGAAGCAAATAGTATGAATTTTATACTACATATATTTATTATTATAAATATTTAGAGTGCATTATGTTTCCTTTTCAGAATCAATCAATGAAATGATCAAGCATGGACAATAGCGTAAAAATTGTACTTGAAGTTATATTAATCTATTGTACTTGTATATGTTAACTGATTTAAAATAACCATATTTTTTTTTTCCTCAATGTGGGTTTATTTATTTTTTAAATTCTGAAATCCTTTGTTTAAAAAGAATAATTACTCTTTTCAAAATAGCATACTCAAAATTTTGCAAAATATTATACTTTCATTGTATTTGAACTATAATCAAAACAAGTATACTATGTTATTTTTTTATTCTATTTTGAATGATTTCATATTTTAAAGAAAATAATACATGATTATAGATTTAACTAACAACATAGAATGTATTTGTTTATAGACATTACTTTTATTTATAGAAAAATACAAAATATTTTCTATTTGAAATATTTATATACACAACAAAAGAAATTCTTAGACGTACCTTCCAATAAATAAGAAATATAAAAAACTCTACTAAAGAATCAAACTTTTTAAACAACTTTATTCTATTTAGCTAATCAATCACTTATTAATTTTAGGGTGTTACTAATTCTATCACAATTTTCTCTAATGCCACTACAACTTGCCATCAATCATAAACCATCACAATTTTTGCTAATGCCACCATCAGTTGTCCTAAACTTACATTATACACTACAATGCATTTTATAGAACATTGCTACTACACACTATAATGGATAAAGTACACATTTTTTATAGATATATATTTTGGTGTTCCATAAAATGCATTGTGTTGTGCAACACAAGTTTAGGTTTGCTTGTGGTGGCATTAGCAACATCCTTAATTTAAGTTATCTTATAAATATCTCTTAGAGTTTATTTTTTACTATATAATAAGTTATATATATATATATATATATATATAAATAAATATTTTTAGACACAATTAATACATAAGATTATTTTTTATTTTAAAGATTATAAACAACATGATTATTTAATATATAGACTTTTTTATACATCAACAAACTATATATGTATAACTTTTTTAAATGTCACCTTTTTATTGTAAATAAGTGGTTAATTTTTTTATATCAAGTTATGATTATATATATATATATATATATATATATATATATATAATAAAATTTTAGGATATCCTCAAAAATATTTGTGTTAGCTTATTTTATTATTTCTTTTTATGTTACAAAAACATACATATTTGTTGAAGATTGTTAATATTTTTATTATAAAATCAGAATTATATTCTTGAAAAATAATTATTAAGATTACCCAAAAAATACATATTTTACCAAAGTAAAAAATAAATTAAAATTCCAATATAAAAAAAATAGATAAGATATCTGTTATTATATTAGATTTATAGTCAATGCTAAAGAATTGCAATTTGTAAAGTAAGTACCTTTATCTTTCTTCTCCTATTGTATTTTATAAAATTTGATTGCATTTATTATTGTATATATTCTTTGAAACTTTTTTATAAGTACTTCATTTACAATAATATAAGAAGAAAAAATTTCAATGTATTAATAAAATATTTACATAATATTTTATATCTTCTAAACATCTTTAAAAATTTATAAAAATATTTTTTATTTAATTTTTAATATTTTAATTATATATATAATATTATATTATAATTAATAAAAATTTAAAAATATTTAAAATAATACCATATGTCATTAATCATTGGATTATGGCCACTTAGAAATAATCTTAGTCTTAGTCTTAGCCTACAATCAATTTGCACGTTCATTCAAAGTGCATTGAATCTTTCAAATTACTTACTCAAGAAGTAATTAGAATCTTCTTTCTACTTGAAAATTAAGATTTTTACAATGCACACTTTAATCAAGAAGTAATTAAAATCTTCTTTTTACTTGAAATTTGAGCTTTTCACAATGCACACTTTATTCAAGAAGTAATTAAGACTTAATATGATTCATAATCCAGGTGGGCAATCTTATTTTATATGGTATAAAATTCATATATAGATACACATACATACTTATATACATACTTATTTAAGTTTATTTTTTTATTAATTAATTTTAAATAGATTTTGTTTTCAAGAACAAAAACTTGAAGAATTAAAATAAAGATATGAATAAGAAAGTATGTATATTCAAGAAAAAATTGAAATGGTTATTGCAAAAGATAAGAAAAATATAGACTCATGAGATAAAACTAAAAGCAAGAAAAGAATTGATATGAGAGAGAAATGCCTCATTCTTGCTTCCAAATTTACTATCCAACTAAAAGTTACATAAAAATGTTCTATTGAATCTCTAATAAGTGTACAACTTGTGGAACATGTGTTTAACTTACAAGACAATTTTTCTATATGTATGCCAAATGGCCAACTTGAACCACAAGTGACCAATATATGCAATACATGGCTAAAATATTGGCCAAGTTTTTAACCTATCAATCTCTTATAAATACATATAAAGTCAAATCAATGTCTATAAAGCTTCTAAGAGGCTTATTTATATAAAATATTTAAATTTTTTTACTTTTATCAAACTTATTATATCTTGCCATCTATTCAAGAAAAAACATATTATTTTTGAAGGTCTTCATTTATATTACATTATCTTGAATGTTGTGACAATCTCAATGTCTTGTCCAATAACTCAATAAATAATAGTTTCTAAGTCAAAGCTCCTTGTTGTTAATTCTCCATCTCTTTAATGCTACAAATACAAAAGAAATAAGAAATAAAGATAGAAGAAAGAATACAATATTCATTGAACTTATTTTGCTTTATAACAAAGATTTTTCTAATTCTTCATTTTAATTTAAAAAATAGTATTGATAAAAAGAATCAATAATAAAAATAATTATTATTGATAAAAATAACTTTTGATAAATCTTGTTATTTTATTGGTTGATAAATAATCTTGGATTCAAGTCTTGACAAAGATACGCTTTAATGGGCTTAGTGATGATTTAAAATATATTTCTACTTAAAATACTTGAAATTCTTATAGTCTATATAAAAATTTACTTCACTAGAAGCACCTTCCAAATATTAGGACTATTTTTATAATAAATCCATAATTACAAGAAGTTTTTTCTTATAGATCTTGTAATTAATCCTGGTTATTAAAGTATTTCTTGAATGAAAAATTATTAGGTGAAGTTTTTTATTTACTCCTATTTGTAACAACACTATACTCAAAGCAAAGTTTGATGCATATGTTTTCTAAAAAAGATCTTAAAAAAATCAATCCAATACAAAATAGATTTTATTATAAAATATATCTTTAAAGCTTCAAATATTGTTTCTAAAATAAGACTAGATTAATTCAATAACCGAAGATCCTTCAAATCCAAAATAACATAAGGCCTCTTCACAAAATAGGACAAAAAAAACTAGAAAAAAATTGAATGGAACTAAATAGAATAAGTCAAAATGGAACTAAATATGAAAGACAAAATTGAGCAAATAGAAACAAAACAAAAAAAAACTAAATAGAAAGATGTAGAACCAAATTTTACTTACAGAAAGAGTCCGAAGCCATATCTGACCAGATGCCCCAAAAGGTCCTAGCAAGTCATGTTTATACCTTGTCCTACCACCCTGAACCTTCTAGAATGTTCCTAGATGCTAGATCCTATCTAGACAACCACCTTAAATTCTTTTCTTAGAAGGTTCTATGATCGGTCCTTTTTAGATAATTGCCTTAAGCCTTTTCTAGAAGATTCTATGATAGGCTCCACCTAAATAACTGCCTAAAATCTTTTCTAGAATGTTCCACGATGGGTCCTATTTAGTCCACCATACCTAACCTCAATTCTAGAAACTTCTATGGTTCAAACATGTAAATAAAACTACAACTTGAAAAAAAAAATCTTATTAAAGATTTGATAGTAATTAATAAATTTTAATATATATATATATATATATATATATATATATATATATCTTCTAATCTATGATAGTCTAAAATTTCTTAGAATCCATTATAAGGACATCATTTGAAATGATGCATCCTAAGAAGTCAACTTGAATTGTGTAAAATATATAGTTCTCCATCTTGACAAATAGTCTTGTATTTATAAGTTTTTGTAACATATAATAAATATGAAGTTCATAATTTTTTATATTCTTAAATTAAATTAAAATATTATTTAAATAAATAAATAAAATAGAAATCATCCAAAAAATCTCAAATAAAATTATTAATTAGATCTTAAAAAATAGCTAATATATTTGTAAATCCAAAAAGTATGACAATAAATTTGAAATTTCCATACATCTTCCAATTATCTTTAATATGTACCAAGTTATATGCTCTTTATAGATCTATTTTAATATATATATTTTTCTTAATTTAATTGATCAAGGAATTCAAATATTAAAGATAGATAATACATATTCTTCATAATCATCTTGTTGAATCCTTAATAATTCACAAATATTTGCATTTATCTCTTTTTATTTCTTTAGAAATAAGATAGGAACTCTTGCTAGAAATTTTAAATGATATATAAAGTTTTTAGCCAAATTTTTATCAATATATTCTTTGAATATAGCAAATTTATTTTTTATGATAAGATAAATATTATATCAAATAGCTATTGAATTCTTTCTTAAAGATTAATTGAGCAATCATAATCACAATATTTTGGTAAAATATTTATATATATTTTTTTCAAAAATATTCTTCTTAATCTTTCTACTAGATTGGAATGTCGCTTAAAGTCTTTCTATCATAAGAAATGGATGTAGCATAAATAACAAAAAATAATTCTTCTTTTGAAGTATGTATGAAAGTTTTTTTAATTACTTATAAAAATTTCCTTATATTAAATTTATAACATCTATTTAGATAATAAAAGTCTAGATTATATTATCAAAAAATTAGGATTATAAAAAATCGATTTTATTCAAAGATTATAGTTCTTTAGTTATTATAAACCTAAAATGAGTGGAATGGAGGGAGATTTAATAACATTAAATATTATTAAGCTATTATTTTGATTTATCATTACGTTTATAGGAATTGTTTTATAGGTAATAATTATTAAAGACAAAAATGACTATTTATGACTTCCACATGCATAGGCTTAAATTTTTTTATTAAATAATTTTTTAATTTTTTAATAAAGTCTTTAGCTATAAAACAAGCTAAAACTTCTAAATCTAATAATTTAGAGGCTTTTTAATTTTTTGGTCCTAAACAAAAATCTATTGTAAAATAAAGTAAGAGATCAAAAGAAAAAATATGACTTTTATTTGATATTGTACAAGATTTCAACTACATTATCACTATTATAGTCAAACAAATTTTTTTTTTTTAAAACATTGTTTTCTTTTGCAACCATACTCTTCATTTTGTGATTGCATTCTTTCTTTGGATAAAGTTAAGTAATGTACTTAGATTCTCCACAATATTAGTATAATCTTTTTTCACAATTTCAAATCTTTTTTTGCTCATTGAAAAGTTTAAAACGTATTATATCAATTTGCATGAATTTTTGCCTTATTGAATTAGTTTCTAAAAACTTTTGAATTATTTTTACGAATTGAATTATGCTTCTCTAACCAAATCTTTGTTCTTGGTATCTTTTAAAAAGTTAATTGTTGCATACAATGGCTTAAATAATAAATAATTTTAATAAATCTATTTTTAGAATTTTTAATAATAAAATTTTGATATAATTTTTAATATGTATCAAAATTGATTGATAAAGATTTTATTATTCTAATCCACATTATAAATAAAGTTTTAAAATTCAACACCATAAATGGTAGCTAATTGTAATCTTTGTTGTAAAGATTGGAATTTTGTCTCTACTAGCATTTCTTAATCTCTTTCTGCAAATATAGCTATAAACACTTCAAGAATGAATTTAGATTGTGCAAAAGTTGTGAATTCTTTTTCATCAAAGATACTAACTAAAAGAAAGCACTTTCAGATAAAAATATAATTATAAATCCAACTTCAATAAATCCATTAAGATATTAAAATAAAGATTTTTTTGTTATAAAATCCAAACTGCATTATTTTTTAGTGTAGATATAAGACCTTATTGTTGATTTCTTTTTATTAGGGTAGGAGTAATACTTTTATGGTTTACATTAATAATATGTAAAATTTTTATTCTAAGAGTGTTGATAAGCTTATAAATTTCTAAAATAGTTGCAAATTTGTAGTCACTTCCATCAAGTGTAGCATTTATAACTTTTTTTCTATCTTCTATATAAGAAATAATTTTAATAAAATCACAAATCAAATTTAAAAAGAAAAAAAATAATCTACAACTAATATCAAATGATTTTTTTTTTTAAATTGAATAGTTTGCTCTTTTTATAAAAAGAATCAATGTTAGAAAACAAAAAAAATTAGTATAAAAGATAATAGTATACAACCTTTAAAAATCAATTAAAAAAATGGATTGATTTACTTATTTTTTTAAAAAAAGCAACAACAACAACACCAATAATAAATTAAAAATCTTGTCAAAGTATTAAAAATAAATATTTAAAGAATTAAAATATAAATATAAATAAAAAATCATGTATATTCAATAAAAAAATTAAAATAGCTATTATCAAGAATAAGAAGGATATTAACTCTTGAGATTAAATTAAAAGCAAGAAAAGAATTGACAAGAATGAGAAAGTCCTCATTCTTGCCTCTATGTATATTATGTAACTAGGAGCTATGTGGTGATGTTCTATAGGACTTTTAACACATATCCAACTTATGAAATACATATTTAACTTATAAGGGAAGTTTTCTATATGTGTACTATATGATCAACTTGTACTATAAGTTACCAATATGTGTGATATTTGATCAACTTATAAGCTAAGTTTTTAATCTATCAATTATTTACAAATACATATAAAGTCAAATTCACATCTATGAAGCTTCTAAGAAATAATTCCACATAATATTATCAAATTTACATATTTTTACTCATTTCTATATAATTCTTCTTATTTAAGTAATTATAAGTGTCAATTATGTTTGTGACATTTTTAACCATAAAAATTCTAAACAAAATTTTATACATTATTTTAATTGAACATGTTATTGATTTAAATTATTTGATTTGATTTTTATAGAAGAAATTATCATTAAACATTAAAAAATCATTCAATTCTTTTTTATTAGAAAAATAATAATAAGAAATTACATAGTATACAAATTGGACATAGTATTATAAATTGATAATATTAAATCAGTTCAAATTTATTTATTTAATAAGTTTGATAATTTTAATTAATTTTTAATGTAACATCAAAGAATTTTAATATATTAATAAGAAATTTTAAATATATATATATATATATATACATATATATATATATATTAGAATTTTTAAACATGAATTTATTACTAAGTTTCAGAAACTCTTTGAAGTTAACCAACAACTAAAAAATATAATGACTCTTAATAATTTATATACAACTTATTTTTACTTGTTATTTTTTTCAAATAAAATTCTAATTAATCTTATAAATCAAATTAAAAAGCATATTATACACATCATTTTAAGATTATATATATATATATATATATATATATATATATATATTAAAATATTTTATAATCACTTAAAAATCCAAAATGTAATAAAAGACTTGAAGAAAAAAATTAATGTAATGATTTTTCTTTTATAATATATATTTTTAATTATTAAAAAAGAACCTTTCATTTTGTCTCTTTTTATTTTTAAAAACTTTCAATATGTTAAAATTTCAATTGCTCATGCCTATTAGTACAAATAAGCTTGTAATGGTTATGATATTTAAAGAATTCAAATAATTTTCACATAATGTGGCATCCAATGCCAAATCACATCGGATGTATATGATTTAGTTTGGATTTAGTGGTTTTTCAATCCATTTAGTTTTTTCCATTAGTTGGCTTGTTAATGTCAACTAAGATTTGAATACTTAGGTAGAAAAACCCCCTTGATTTGACATTCTTGTTAAGTCAAGACTTATAAGTGGTTTTTAAGAGAGAAGAAGCTTCTTATAAGGGATTTATTGGTGGTAATTTAGCCATTTAGTAAAGCTTTAGAATTTTCTTCTACTCACACTTACACTATTGGATTCTCCTCTAATGGTTTGAGAGATAGCTTGACTTATTGGTATTTAAATTTATCATCTTTCTTTAAAAGTATGTTGGTTGTGCATTTATATTTAGTTTACATACTTTGTGATTGGCTTGTAGCACTTGATATGTTGTGTGTGACAATTGTTGTTTACATGAAATGATAAACATTACAATGAATTGATTCTTATTAAATAATAATATTATTAATAATATCTTTGGCTTTTAAATTTAAGCATTTAATTTTTTTTCTTTTTGAAACTAAGATAAATATTTCTATATAACTAAGAAAATAAAATAAGAAAATGAAATATAAATCATCAATTTTCTGAAACCACATCATTGAAATAAAAAGTTGTAGAGTTTCCAAACTATTTGTCTCACTATATCAAAATTAATTACACAAGAAATTTTTATTTTTTATATTAAATTAATATATGATTCAATTCAAAATAATTTCTAAAATATTGTAAATCTGTCTACAAAAGCTTTACCAAGGAGTTTTTTCCCACTTTTTAAATGGCAATCTTATGAAGATGGACATACTTATAACCACTCTTTGGCAAACAATAGTTACAAACACTTGCTATCAATGATGACACTTTATAATTGATGTGGGGGACCTCAACGTCCATTAATACTTGATCCCTTCGCCTCAAAAAAAGTTGCAATTCCATTGTCAAGCCCAAGGTCTACTTGTTTACTTGTTTAGTGCTTATAATAGTAGCATTAGGACCTCTTGCAATAATAGCTCACAATAGTTCCTGGTTAGCACTGTGCACTGGAGCGTGGTAGTGCCGTGCTGTAGATGAGCTGAAATGTTGTGTGGTCGTATTCAAAGTCTCTTTCAATAGACTCTTTAGTGGTACCCCATTCGGCACGTAATTGTCAACCAGCTCCCGGTTAGTGGACATGCTGATCACATTTCTCCGGTGCTTGATATTTTGATGACGCAGACTCACACAATGGACGATGTGACGTAATGCAAAACATCAAGGGGCAGAGTTGGATCCGAAGTTTCCAGCTTCATAGACAATCAACCATAAAATCCGCATGTTCTTAACCTAACAAGTGCAAGTGATCAAATTGATGAACACCTAAGACAAAAATGGACCTGAATGACGTATTCATAATCAGTTTAATGGTTCCACAAAATACAATGTAGCAAACAACGCGAGTCTAACGGAATAAACTCACACTGTGACCTGATAATACCGCAATCTCCGCCGTCGTATTTTTCATAATACAAAGAAACTGCGTTACTCTTCTAGATAGACTAACTAGACTACAGAAAATTGTCCAGCTGCTAAGAATCTGCGGCTCTATGGAAAAGAATGTTCAGAGCCTTTGAATAAGCACGCTCTCAGAATTTGCACAATTGTGCACAAGAGCAAAGAAAAAACTCAGATGTCTTACATCCACGCCTCCATACTACGCCAATGTTGAGAAGAAAAGAATCCAATAGTTGTTAAGACAACTCCCATTACCCCAGGGCATGCCTCTGCCTAAGGTTGCCATTCGCCTGAGGTTCATCGTCCCTGAGGCCGCTAGATACAGACCCCTGCCCTGCAGACATGTCATCTAATTCCCTGTGCCTAATTCTATCAGTCCCATTGGTGCGAACGGCATTGTTGTTCATTGCTGAAGCTGCTCCTTGTGTGCCTTCATCAGCAAGCTTCTTAAGTAGAGTCATTACAGTGGGCAGCAACTTTGTTGATACGGAAATCAAACCGGGAACAAATCCATGCTCAAACTCTCGGGTGATGTCTAACTGAACCCAAACAGCCTTACCCACCAAGTAGGCGATAAAGATTAGCACGAGGTAGAAAGGATTTCGAAGAAGAGCCATAAATTCGTTGAATCCAAGTACACCCATCGCCATGAGGGCCCATGGTGGAGGTAACCATGACTTGTTTCGCTTCGCAGCCTCTTGGGCAGCCATCGCCTGACTAATTGTGTACTCTGTTTCAGCTTGAAATTGCCTCCAAATACTCTTGCACTGCACGGGGGTGATCAAGGTATCGTTGGAAGATACTCCCGGCCACATAGCTACAGATAGTGCATGCAATGCTGAGGACTGGCCTCTGACAATGGCGGTGTTGTTTCCCGACACAGTTCTGGATATTGTCCTTTGAAGAGCCGTCTCTGGTTGGTCTCCCAACAACGGTTTAAGAGAAGACTCAATTGAATCACTTTTTTGAGAGTCCTCATCCAATCTAATTGCAGCCAATACTGAAAGAAGCTTCAAGGAGGAAGACCTTGCATCTCGTGTGATAGCACGAACGTCATGCTCTTCTCCCCATATTCTAGGCATGTTATCTGCTTCGTGTCCGAACACATTAATAAACCTTTGCTTCATCCGAATTATAGCTTGAGAAGCTTCTTCTTTGCTCTTCTTCTCCACAACACCCCGTCCAAATTTCGATAAAAAATCGCGCATCTTCGTCTCCTCCTCTTTAGATGGCTCAAAGCCAACAATTGCGTCTGATAATCTGGATGTAGCATCTTTAACTTCAGCCTCCATTAGCCTGCTTATGGCTGACCATGTATCAGGAGCTGCAGCGTCCAAGAGCGATGCTGTAGGTTCATCAAGAGCAGCTTCCAACTTATTTTCGAACATAGAAACCACTTCAGCGAGCTTCTCCTTTCGTTTAGTCTGAGCGTGTGTATCGATGTCACGTAACAGCTTCTCCTTCGCCTTAGAAGAGTCCCATCCTGAGCGAGCAACTTCCGCATCTGAGAATACCAAGCCCATCGTTAACATCAACGCCAGATTAGAATTCACATAAAGATTGCTTTTGATTCTCGACAAAGTCTACTGAGCAACAGCATCGCCGTATTCTCAAAGAATAACGAATTAACATCAGTTCTCAGATTCAATTACCCTACGGTCATACTTTGTATAAAATGCAACTTGGTACCTCACGTGGTTCTCTAATGAAACTATTTTTTCGATAAAAGTACATAAATGCAGGATGATGACTACCGATTCAAGGAGTACCAAAAACTAGCAGAACAATGCCCCAAAATTGAGTCTGAACAAATCTGCAACTACATGACCCTCGTTAACTATAACCTGTACATTATCCATGTAAGACACAGATCACGAAAACTATTAGAGACAGTAAACTAGGAAATAAAACCGCAGCATTGGACTTTTTCCTTCATCCATATTCTATAGATTTCCAATTGCTTGACTTCTCAAGAAACGAGAACTTAAAAGCTAAGGTCTTTTCAAAATACCTTAAACCCCTAACGTTCATCAATAACGAAAAAAATCCCAAAATACACAAGATCTGACTCGAAAATATTTTTCCGTTGTCAGTATTGATTACAAACTTCACCATGATCACTGCAAGTAAGCAAACAAGTCATTTCCCAAAAGAAAAACGAAAAGAATGGGGAATGCCATTATGCAAACCGTACGCACCGGCACATCCACGTTCAAACTCGAGCAAAGCTGCTTTTGAGCACCACCGCACAATGTTAGCGAATCCCTCGTCGGAATGAGATTCAAGATTAGTATCCAAACTCATCTTAAAGGAGTTCAGAACTTTCGCCCGGTGATGGCCTATCACTAGCTGATACGAAGGTTGCACAACATCCAAGATCCTCGACGTCAAGAAGTTCTGCTTGGACGTCCTCACGCCTTCATCAAAGAAGGCAGCTTCCATGTTATATGCTTGCAAAAACTTCTCCACCACATCGTTCACAAACTTCCCAAACCCTACCACCACATCGTTCTTTGCTTTCTCTTCCAGACTGCGCCATTCCTCATCATCAAGCAAACCTTTCAATTTCTCATGCGCAATTTCTTCACACCTCACGGTGGCCACCATCACCTTATGCGCCGGTAAATCCAGATCCTTGTTTTCTTTGATTACGCGCCATATCTCTTGCGTGCTAAACGGAAAGCCCGTCGCAGGCACCACGCCCCTCCGATCGCCCGCCAACCCTCCAGGAGCTATCGAGTTTTGAAACCGTTCACGCAGCTCTGCCACCTGCAGCTTGAACTGCTCCTCCTTCTCCTCATAATTCGCTAAGGAGGTGACCTGTAAGTTGAAAAACTCACTCAACGGCGTATGCTGGTGATTCGCTGGCTTGGGGACCGTATCCCAGATTTTCTGAATGTCCTCTCGCAAGATCGGCTCCAAGGTCTCGATCGGCGTCCTTGTCTTATCACGGATCACAAATAGCAACGTTGTCTTCCGCGGCGTGAACAAACGCAACATAACCTGAAACACAGTTTTCAACAACGGCTTGTTCGCAGCTTGCTCGCGACCGATGTCGTGACACCACATGTTGATCAGCACAACGTCAGACACAGCCAACGCAAATAACGAGCTCTGCTTCTCAAATGCGGTATCATCTTCGCCCCTCTCCCGCCCATCCGTCCCCTCCAAATCCATCACCAAAGTGCACGGATCTATCCCATCCGCCCTTGCTAACCACACTCCCTGTGTCGTCTGGCTTCGCCCTTTGAACGCATCCATCTCAACGAAGCTCGTATTAAACAAATGATTCAGCAGCGTACTCTTCCCGGAGCTCTGCGGCCCCATGATCGCCACCACCGCATAGGACAGTCCGCATTCTGCCAGCTTCACGCTCTTAACGAATGCATCCAGCCCTGCAGTATTAAAACCGCCCTTGCCATCCACCAGCTGCAGTGTGGGCGTCTTCCCTACGGAGTCTGCCATGGTCGCACCTCCAAACTTCAAAGCTTCAAATTTTCAAAAACTCACCACAGGCCTTCTCTTCTACGCCTCCACACGCAAAACCCTCCTACCTTCAACAAATATCTATTCCACGATTCCCTAAAATTCTCTCAATGGCCGTCATGAAGCTCCTGCACACCACTCAGAACGGGATCAAGAGCAGGACAGCATTCAAGCTTATGCTCACACTTCTGAGAATAGTTTGTAGCTCCAACGCAACAAGCTACCGTCATCCATCACGAACTAACCCTATTCGAACAGAAACCCATCAGCAATACCAAAAAGGAAAAGATCGTGACGAAAAAGTCTCACGACTCATGAAAGCCAACAGAAAAGTTGGTGATTGCGGACGGTGATTAGAATTTCGACATCTCGGAGAGCCCACTTAAGTCGCTTGCTTGCCTACACCTGATCTCGCTGCCCTCCATTCCTGGCGATGGAAATCGGATCGTGTTCGCTGTTCCTTTCCTTCACTTGGGTTGCCATTGACGGGCTTTGTTGGAGCTAAGTAGGTTTAGGTTATGGCGGAGACAGTGCATTTGGTTGTTTCATGACATTGTTTAGCGGCCATGCATTGGAGGCAATCCGTTGCTTCAAGAAACGAGAAAGGGTTTTTCGTCGGTTCTTGGGTTTTGACGACCTTGAGATGTGTAGCAACACCCTGGATTCATTCCATGGCTTGACAAATTCTTGACATAGAATAGAGTTTATGTATCTCCTCCTCTGTTTCTACGTTCTGATCTTGTGATTAGTGCGAATTGGTTCACACGCCAGTATGCACATGCTACAGCCAGCATCCATGTTCCGGTAGCTGCACGCTCAGTATGTCGGTCGTCAGGTGAAGAACTCATCCAGTGCTGCAAATTTGCAAGGCAGGTAACCGCAATTCGAAACCACGAGAACGAATCCAAACTTTCGTAAAAAATCCTGGCAGGGTATCCTCATGCACAACCTACAAATCTTGACCTCGTCGTCCAGCTCTGACAATTCATGCCTCAACTTTAAATCTGTCTGGAAAGCAAGGTTCCTTCATTGCGGAATATATCCATGGGTTTCTGTTTCCGCAAACAATCCCTGCATTGGCAATCCAATGCAAAAGAACCTCTCGCACCAATCAAGCAAAAAAAATATGCTTTGTCTCAGTCGCTGATGAGAAAACAGCACGAAAATCTTTGTAATTGTTCTGTAGAATAGAACAGACAAGCCCTAAATTGCATGGAACAGTACAAATTCTGCTTGGGGGGATATTCACTCTTGCGTAAAGCTTGGAAACATGCCTTGTACTCGAAATACGGATATTCAAGTTTTTCTGCTCAAACGAAAATGATCTTATTATGTTAAATTCGTTCTAGAAGTTGAAGACTTGTTCAAAAGCTGAGTAATTCAAAAGAAAGCATAACTACAGTTTACCAAATGTCAGGGTGATTTAAGTATCGTATTTCTATACTTTTTGAGAAATGCTTTGAATAATTAATATTTATTATAACTTTGGGACCATCATCCATAAATAAGCGCTAATGTAGCCATTTAGATTGGTCATTCATTTATTGGTTTAAAAAAGGAAATTACAAGTAATCGTTCATTTTTTTGGAATTTCCCAATATAGTTAATTCTTGGAACTTCACAATCTACAACCAAAAGCGTAAGATGATGTTTTTAAATGGATTTTTCTAACCCTAAAAGTTGAGTCTTTGCCTTGGGACTTGGAACTTGGGCCGTTGTGTGAACTGCCCTGAAACACAGCAAAAAAAAGTAAAAGAAAAAGAAAAACAATCCCCCTTCGAGAATGGGATCCCACTTGAACGGAACAAAGCGAACATGGGAACTTCGTTGCACTTCTGTTGGGGGTTTTCTCTCGCATTCTTTCCAAGCCCGAAACCCTAACTCGGCATGATACAAACTTACATGGCTTATTCGGGTGAGTTATGGCGCTTGAGAGATGGCTGATCCAGTTCCCTGCCTCGACTTCTTTTCGGTACATTTGAAATTGTCCTTCGTTCTCTCATTTCTGTGTCACGTCCTGCTACGTCGAAGGGTGCCTTTCTTAGGGGACAGGGGAATTTATCAGTATAGCTTGGTCTTAATTTGGATGCTTGCTCCCGTTTATTTTGTTACTATGGTCATGAGGATTTGGTGCTCAAGGTCGCGAATTAGGATTTCAGTACATTGATGAGTGCATTTCTGGCTTGTCATTTTGTACACATCCAGATTGCGGTTCTTCACTCCGTACACCAGGTTGTTTTGTTCGGTTGAGTCAGTCAGCACATAGTCGTAGGGAATGAATGTAAGTGATGGTTTTTTCATGGGTGGGAATGATGCTTGAGTTGTAGCTGGATTTCGACGCCTTGGCAGCTTTAAGGACTGAGGGCCTCCAACCTCCCAATCCTCGCGTACGACCATTGGATAATCTGAACAAGTGTCGTCGTATTCTGCCCTCAGTAAGTTCCTCCAACCTCTCATGCCTACTCAATCAGGCGTAAGACTTTGGTTGAAATATAGTTGATTTTAGGGGTTATGTAATTAATGCTTCGTAAGTCAGGGCATGATTTTTTGGGAGTTTGAATCTGGAGAATTGCTGGAGTGTTTTCGTTGCTCAATTGACTCTAGTTGACCTTCCGCGACATCCAAATCTGTATCGTTGGATCGTAAGTCTTTGGCTTGTGTAAGAAGCGGAGTCAATCTCTGATGACCCACGGAGGTAGACATGCAGACAGGATAGGTTTTTTAATCTGGAACTGTAGTTTTGACGTGAATATGCTGTAATGCTCATCAACAATCTACAGAGATTGGTTAGGGTGCATTGTAGAAAGAGTCGTCTACTGCTTTTTTCTCAAATTTCAACTGTTACAGGATGTGCCTGAATCTCTTGCCAACGCGCCTGTGAGAGGCCCGCGCTCCCAAGAATCCATTGCTGCGCAGCAACGTGCTAAGGTCTCACCAACTTCTTTTTGTTGATGTGGTGACACGTATATTACCTCAGAAGGAAGCCACATTTGATCATGTTTCTGTCTTATCTACTTCGCTTCGATTTGTATTTTGCCCTTTGATTTTAAATTCGAGGGAGTCAGCCTGGGCTGAGATGACACTACATAAATTGCTTGCCATGCGAAAACAATCTTTCTTTTAGGTGTTAGGTTGGTTCTTGTTTATTCACAGGTATGAGTATCGATGTGATTACAGGCTCGCACATCGTTATTATTGGAGAAAGCAGCAGAGCGAGCTCGGCAAGCGAAGGTTCTTGACACTATAGCAGGTACAAAAAGTATACCTAAACCGTATAAGTGAAGTGACACGCTCCTTTCCGTACTTTGCGAAGTCTACTTAAAGACCATCGCAAGTCCTTTGTTCTGTCAGCTTGAATCTTTAAGATCGTGCAAAATTCATCAATGAGTGTGATTCGTCATTTGCAGATAAAATAAGACAAGGACCTTTAGGTTTGCTCGTAAGATGCTACGAAGAGAGAGCACGTATTCAGGTTTGGACACGTCATACGCATGGCATCCGGGGTACAATGGTGGGCTTTGTGCGAGCCTTGGACAAACATTTTAACATGGTACACCCATCTTCTCTGTAAAGGTAAACTCTGTGGTTGTTTAGGTTCACGTGGAGGAGCTCGGAAGGGATGAGAATCTAAGACTCCGTTTATTGAACTTTGAGGGATTTGTTAGAGAATAATGTTCTTCGGCTTAGGAATACAATGCTGACATACATAGCATTCTTTTTGATCTAGCAGGTGTGAATCACTGAATAAAACGATTGGTTTTTGGGCAGGTGCTGCATGATGTTGACGAACAATATTCAGGTAACATTTCGTCTTTGCAATCAATGCGGTGTGATGCATAGCTTTCTCCACTATTTGATTAACTTCAATGGACTAAGGCTGTTTTTAATCATCGGTTGAGCAATTCGTGGAAGCAATTTGAAAATATGTAAATGGAGAGTATATAACATGCCTTGATCCTAGTCTGATGATTGTGGCCTTCTGATTGCAGTTCGTCGTCGTGTACCTCGGCTTGTGAACAAGCGAGGTCGAGCGAAGGTACCAAAAAACGAAGAGGAAATGTCTGCGAACTCTTTGTTAGACAAAGTAAGGGAGGATGGGACTGAGCGTCAAAGGAAAGAACAAATTGCAGTTGGAGTTGAAAACCTCACGGAGGCAATGAAGGAACTGAGGTTGTTTCCCAAACTCGAATATCGGCGGCGGCATCTCAAGCAGGTCTTTAAAGCACGCTGTTTTTTGTCGTAGCAACAACCCCGCAATATAACATTATAACCAGTATTTGAAACTCATGTTGTCATGAGTTGCATCAATGAATTATTTCTGTTCATCTTGCACTCTATATTCATAGTTAGTTTTCACAACGAAAACATAGAGGTTTTGTGTTAATATGAAGTTAATGATGTGAATGATAATACCTTCCAGTGTGTTGGAGCGAATGCCTCCTGACTGTTCTCTCTGCTGCTGTTTTGCTTGTCACCTGCCAAATGTGCAGGTTTTCGTACGTGGGGACAGCGTAGTCATGGTCCGAAAGCTGGTGTAACGTGGAAGTGCAGCAGTAGAATGGTCAGAGCAGCTTTTCAGATTCTTGCATCTATGCGAACAAAGATTTCACCCTCATTTTATTTTTGAACATTTTTTGTAAATAAATTATTCATCGATCGGCTTCTGTAACCAGCTTCAAACATAATTTAGTTGCCATTTTCTGGGACTGTTCTGTAAGAAATTAGGGGATGTTTGTACTAGGCGATACTAAATGTAGTTTCGCTGGTGGATTTATCTGGGATTATTTGGAATTAACCGAATTTATTCATCAAAAGATACTGTCTTCACCTTGTGTATGTTATGGATGTTTTGGATTTTGGACGGGACGTTGTGTTTTTACTTTGTGCACATCCGTGAAGTGGTCTTTTAGTTCCCCCCTGAACAGTTCTGCCGAAACATAGTAAAAGTGGACCCAAATATTATACCTGGAGACAAAATATTTTATAAAAATAATTCATGTTGACATTGATAATTTTATTGGTTGTCATAAAATATTCAATATCATCAGGTACTTATATTGTAAAATCCAAGGATAATTTTACAGTCGAAATGTTCGTGTACATATCTGCACACATGGGGCTATCTATCATTTTTTTTCATTACAGACATTTACTGTTCATTTTAAAGATTTGTGGATTTTTTTTTTTTGTGAAGCAATAGAAAACGAAGTCGAACTGATTGTATTAAAAACTAGTATTATGAAATCAATTATATTAATAGCAACACAGTTAATTGTGTTCTCTGCTCCATTTCTTTACATCTTTTTTACATGATTTTCTGCTATAATTGTTTCTACCAATTTAGTTTCTTCTAGTCCTACCTCTCTTAGCTGTAAAATAAGCAAGATCGATTTTCTGAGTCAAACAATTAGTGGCATCAGATTGTTCTCATTTTGGAGCATAGCTATCATGAGATTTAAGCAATTTTGGTTTCACTCCACTACTTAACTGGTGTAGGTTTAGATGTCATAAATCAATTGTGGGAGAGAATAGTTCATTGTTAAAAAATTCATATGTAAGATACTGGGCATCTAGTCTGGAATAACAAGGTTAACGCCCAATGGATACAGGTTGAACTGCAGGAAAACAATTGTTAATTATTTTTAAGGTCACTTTACGAAACGTAACACATGGATTACTAAGACAACCATTTGCTGTGGTACTTCAGATAACACAGCACTCAGATGAGAACTGCATGAATCGATTAGCCCCGAAAACATGGATGATAAAAGATATGCCCACATCCTCAACACAACTATCATATTACATCGATTGACTATTAATGCTCGCCATGCCCCGTCTTGTTCAGTAACATGAAATTCAAATGATCTTATTTCTTCAATGTCCAGACATGCTTAAACGCATGGATACAACTACTGCATGAAGTACCCATTCACACCATTCAAATAGTGATGTGAAGCTACAAAAGGCCTAAGGGCCATAAGCTCACAGCAAATGTCTGGCCCTCCACATTAACCCTGGGTTGCCTCTCCCTTATGAAGTCCACTTTGGCTCATTTCCTTCAACAACCAAGACAAAAAGCTACACCCAGATCCTAATGCCAGGAGAACATCTGAACCCTACTCAGGAATTGGAGTTCCAACAGCAGATATTCATAATCCCAAGAACGAGCGTCTAGGAAACCTCCCGAACTGCTGCCGCGACTTGAAGACCTAAAAACTAAATAATCAGGAGGAAAACCTGATACTCTAGCCGGCCACAATCGAACTTGGAAAAGAACTTGAACGCTTTGAATGAAAATCCGGAACAACACTAACCCTCCAATGCAGCGGCACCAGAAATGATCTCAATAAGCTCTGTAGTGATGGACGCTTGACGGGACCTGTTGTAACTCAGAGTTAAACGATCAAGCACCTCACCAGCATTACGGGTAGAGCTGTCCATAGCAGACATACGTGCTCCCATCTCACTAGTAGCATTCTCAAGCATGGCATTGTAAAGCACTGATGCCAACTGGAATTCGGCAAGGTTCTGGAGAACTTCTCCTTGAGTTTCGGCTCCCTCCGTCTCGTAAGACTCTAGGTCACCGATCTTCTGGGCTTCTTCCCCAGCCAACATCTCCGGGGAGAGCAACGTCGCCACGGTGGGTAGAAAAGAGACAGCAGAATTGAACTTATTGTATACCACTTTGATGACATCATATTCGCTGGACTTGATGATTTCGTCAGCGATCATGGCGCACTGCGTGAAATTGATCGATACCTTTTGAGTTTCGGTGATGTAAGTGCTGATATGCTTCTTGTACTCCCGCTGCAACTGTGCTTTCCCCTTGTCTCCCACAATCACAAACTTCGTGTCTTGACCCTCCCCATTCAATTGATTCAACTTCAACAGCGACCGCGAGTACTTCACCACAGTAGAGTTGATACCCCCGCACAAACCCTTGTCAGTGGACAAGGTCACCACAAGCGTCTTGTTGCCCATAATCGCAGGTGCGTCTCCCAGCAGCGCAGTGAATGGTTGGAACAATCCTCGTGAATTCTCCGCCTTCACCTGCACGGTCCTCAGCTTGGACGCGGCAACCATCTTCATAGCCATGGTGATCTTCTGAATGTTCTTCACAGAGCGCATCCGATTACGAACCGCCTGGTTGGACGCAGCCCTCGCTCCGAAAGGCGCCACTTCGTTGGTGGCTCCCAAACCTTGCATCCCCCATGGTGATCCCATTGCGCCCCCATTCTGCACGCCTACCGACGAAGAGAGCGTCAATTTGTCCGCAAACTGTTTGGCCAGGCGGGAACCGCCACGGCGTGCAGCCCCTGTGGCCATGTCTACAATTCAACACGAACCTGGAGATGCAATATCAACAGGGAAGATCTAGGGTTACGCGAGCATTGAAATCCTGAAAAACGCGACACTATTGCCTAGACTCTCTCTCTATCGCATGGGTGCGAGAGGAAGAGGGAGACGGTCACCCGATCAGTCAGTCGTCGTAAATTCTGACCGGCGACAGTCCGTTAGTATCCTTTGGTGATGATCACGAGACAATGACCGGGTGCACTGGTCGCCCTTGCTCCGGTGGGGATGGATGAATTATTCGCCGCGTGTGATTATCATCCACATCTAACCTCGTCAAAATCGAATTAGACTGTACAAGTTGAGCTTCACTAAGAGAATCAAAATAAAATGTTGCTAGAAAAAATAAATAGAAGGTGATACTTCTTCAAATAATGAAAATAAAATCACACATATTTTGATTGAAAGATATTTTTTTCCACATTGATTTATGAGTTTTAAATAAGCACAAAAACTAATCATTTTTAAAATTAAAATTAGTCAGTTTTTTTCTTTTTTCTTTTTTCTTTTTTTTTTCTGAAATTTCTGTTTAATTTATACTTCTCCCCGTTTTTGATACTAAGATAATAAGGTTTCAAACTAATTAAAATATCCGCATTTTATTTTTTTCTTGCAATTAGTAACAATATTATACACTAAATTACATGCATACATACATACAGTTTAAAACCCAAATCACAAAATAATTTTTTGTATTCTTTTTGTATTAGGATTATTGAAAAATACATATTACAAAATAGAATTTATTGTATAAATAAAATATAATTGTTTTATTATAGACCTATATGTACAATATTTTCTAGGGTACTATGAGAAAAAGTTGATTGTTAAGTATTTTCAAATTAAGTGTATATATATATATATATATATATATATATGTCAATTTGAAATTAACCATACATAAAAATCCACCACTATGGTTTAAGGAATGATCTAATTCCTTTCATACCGTTTAAATAGATTAATAAAGAAAATAATTTAAAAACTAAAATTTGATAATCTAAAAATCAATATATCTTGTACGAACAATAATTTTAAAAAACGGAATTAAAGTGCACCATCTTATGGTATAAATCTAGCACTTTGATTTCTATATTTCTTCTTTTCTCAATATTTTAAAAATCACAACATCAAATTTTGAAGTTCTTCTTTTAAATGTTTTCTATAACTACATAGTTATTTACTTTTTTATTCACTATTATGTACAACTAATGTACAGATGTTACTAATATTGTTTAGAGATTATGTGGTGTTACACATCGATCTATTGACAAAGCATAATATTGCCTTAGCAATATAATGTACATATTCATAAACTAATTGAGAATCACATTCATGTACGAAAACAATATGCACGACAATGGGTTCAGCAGTTGTCTTCAGAAGACAAGGATTCAAAGTAATGTCCGTAGCACCCAGTGACTGACGCTTTTCAAAATCTTGGGGAAAGAAATTAATTAATCTCTCCAATAATTCTACTGCTCAACCAAGTGACTTTGCTCATCCACCCACTACCTTGGTGCTCACGTATTAATCACTACGCTAATAAGCCTAATTCAAATCATAGTTTTGGTTATAACCTCAAACAAAGCTTTTTAAAACTATAACCTAAACCGCACAAATTTCAATATTCTAACACATCACTCAAACAAGCAAAAAAGAAGCACTGTAAAATTTGAAAAATATTTCAAAAATTTCCAATTATCGGTCAATTAACGAATCATGTTACAAGCCAATGTACCCCTCCATCAAATGATACACTGCAATCGATACATGTACAAAGAAATATTCAAGTAATACCCTAAAACTAAGTGTCACACTACTAAAAACTGCGGTTCAAGCAATCTGCAATTTCAACTTGATAAATAATCCACAAACAGCAATACATGAGCAAGAAATGTGAATAATGCAAATCTCTAAACCTAGTAAGCAACAGTTGCACCAAAGAAACAAACGAGATTGATGGCATTCAACCAAAATAATTAGATGCAATTGAAAACAATTCTATAAAAAAAATAAAAAAGAAGAAGAAGAGAAAGACCCACATGAAAACAACAACCTCACCACTTGATACCAAAGATTTGTAGTAATATACGTCACTGAAATATAAGCAGATGTAAGTTAGGAACAACGAGTCCACAAACAATAGATGAAAACAGATTCACATATCCAAAGATCTCAGCCACAACAGGTACAACATGTGAGTGCAAAACTCGTATCGATAAGGACCTCAAACAAGGAGCTTACATAAGGGAGGTCAACTGATTTCCTCTGAATTCACATGTTTCACTCTCTATTACACCACGTCCTTCAATTTAGCAAGGCATGCTTAGACGCATCCAAACATCAGCCTTGATGGAATGCTTTCTTCTCAAGCTTCATGCTCCTCCTCGCCACTCACCTCTCATACTATCACAACTGTGTAATGCAGAACATGATCCCACGCCACACGCGACAGCACAAGGGAGCCTTCAATGTCCCTAATCGAGCTCATGCACCCAGAACCTAAGCTTCTAACAATGAAGCATTATAGGGTGCCAAAAACAAGGTACAACCGCACAAATTGGCAGCAAAAGCGAATCTTAGAATTCAAACACAACAACAAAATATGTAAATACACTAAAAAGCTACATTCGCATTAAAGACAAGATTTCAGCTTTACACAGTGAGCAACCGCAAAACACTTGCTAAGAGGACATTGCGTCCACCAGTCATATTCAAAACTGCACGGCACAGCTGTCTGCTTGGCATCAACCGAAAACAAACCGATTACAAGCTCCCGTGATTCATCCTCATCATGATTAGGCAAACAATCAACCAAAGAAGGTAAGAACAAATACTACATTCATCACACGACACTGTCAAAATGCCGACCAAGACCTCCACACCTCCCGCCGACGAACGCTGCCCACCCCTGCGGTACACACAGTGCCGCATAAAAACCTTCAGTCCAAAACTGAGAACTGCGAAGAAAGTCGGGAAGGAGGCGAGGGCTTGGGGCGAAGCCTGAAAGCATACTGGAGAAGGAGAAATGACATAGACGTGACATACACTTAACAACAGTAAACAAAATCAAGAGTAGGGTGCTCAGTAATGCTGAAGCCCGCCATCTGACCAGCGTCGAGGCCTGCAAGTTCAGTCAATTATCTCCGAACTTCACCGTCACTGGTGTGGAAGTCCACACTTCCAAGCTCAAAATCCCTTTCTGTGTTTCAGTTCCACCAGGCTGCTCGCTACGAAACCACAATTACGTCATCTCAAACTATGAGTTCTCTGCTTTATTTTGGCTGCTCTGCAATCTTTGTACTTTGCTGCTATGTCCGCGTGAGAAATCACTCTGAGCTCCTTGCCCTGCAGCCCAAGACTGACCGCAGAAAGTGAACCGCTCACATTTCCATGTCTTGTCTGCTGTTGTGCAGGTGGAGCAAACAGGCCGAACGACTGCTTGCGAACACAGTCACCTCTACCAGCCACAGTTACACACTCCGACGTCTATCTGAACGGAATTTCCTTCCATGTTGCAAACAATCCTGCTGTTATGGTGATTGAAATCCGGTGACGACGAGCTGGGGCACCAAAGAAAATCTTACTCGACGGCATGTCGCCATTTGCACACACTCTGTTGCACCATGTGTTGAACCTCTACATTAACCATCTCCTTTTGTTCAGACCCGATGAAAATGTTCAATACACTGCAATGTGCACACCAAAACTGTTATCATGTATTTCGTTCACCACTATTCACAGTGAATACAATTTCATATTCATTTAGACCTCGACGCACTCCTTCAGACTCAGCTGAGAGCGCATGCGCACTTCGCTTGACTCACAGTCGTCTGTGTCTACAAACGAACGCTGAAGAAACATACTCTGCTGTGATTACTCCACTCCAAAAAAACTATCATGTCCGGCTTAGATTCTAGGAACTTGGGGTCCAAATGTCGGAACGAAGAATACAAACTGACACTTGTACTTCCAAACGATGGCTTCCCATTCAATAACCCGTTGCCACACACTTTCTAGTTACTGCCGGAAAAAAATCATTTTCAACAGACGTACAAGTCTGGGATTCTTGCTGACCGGCCCACTGTCACTGGAGGAAACAACTGCTACCGCTGTTACACCAGCTGGATTAGTATGCGCTCCCTTGGGCTGCTTCTGAGCAGTGTAGCTGCTGCCCGCATCCTTGAAGAGCGTGACATGTTGTCCACGCAGTCATCGGAGCTTATCATTAGAAGCCTCCGGTTGCGATCCTTGCCCATACAATATTATTGGTATGTGGCATTTGGATCAACGTGAACTTTGTATGACTCGCCTGGCTTCAACACGGTCAAATCAGTGAGCACGAGGTTGTTGGCAACCTTGAGCTTCAGTGTCTCGGAGGTACTATTGCTGATTCGGTGGAGCTCTTGATCACAACTTACTGGGTAGGATTAACCCTGACAAGATCGCAACAAGTGCTAATCTGCTCTTCAGTCAAGACCTAAACCTAACCTATGTACTTACAAACACACTTCGGCATGTCTCGAACTATTGCACAAGTGTGAATTGAGAAGGAGCTTACTAAGATTTGTTGGAGGATACTCTCCGTAGCTGATCTTGTCTCCGATTCAACATGGTTATGCTGCAGACCCTGGAATGCACAAAATCCTCCAGCTGGAAATGAGGAAAAGTGCGGAGAAAACAAACAACACACCGAAGACGGATCCATACAACCGAACAGAGAGTTCCAATTTGTCAAGCCGCCTGGTAGGTCCGTCTCTGGCGTGTAAGGCGAAATTAAATCCACTGGGTCCAATCCTTAATTTCACATCCGTGATCCTTTTTTTCAAAATCTGCACACACAATTGGAGCCCGATCAAACTCAGCAATTCTGACATCTCAGCAAAGTCGTCAGCGCCATTCTTGTGCGGGAGCAGTGCTGGTTGCTGCACGGCAACTTCCACACATCAATCTTTGGGGCCATTGAAAGCTTCTTCTTTCAATAGCCGCTTCAGTGTTTTCGCAAAGCTGCCACAGTCCCGCTCATCCAGAGCCTCACACATCAATTCTACAGATGTAGTCTACCTACTCTATCATTAAACTTAGGTTTGAGAACGAAGTACCTTGCTGGTGTTCTTTTCTCCGTCAATTGTATTCTCCAGCGCCCAGAAACCTCTCAACTTCTGAAAAACAACTGCTGCGGTCACGAGCGACGTCAACAAGGACAACAGAAACGAAGTCCACCAATTCTGGCACCTCAGCATGGACGCCTGCGCCACAGCCGTAAAAATCACGCCCTGAAAGACTACATAGAATCCAATTACTTGGTAAATCTCGTTCCAAATCGCATCTCTTTGCGCCTCTTTATACTTGCGCCGCTTCTCGCACAAATTGAATGTCTCCTCCCAGTCGTCAAACGCCAACTTCAACTTAGGATGCCTGCCACTATTCAACTCTGCTAAGTTGTTTGCAATTTTGAGTGCAATTACAGGCTCATCGTCAGAATCTCCTGCCGCCCCCGCAGGATCGCGGATATCCACGCCCATGTGCTGTTGGTTCCTCGCCGGTTGGGTCAGCTGGATCTCACCTGACAAACCCCGGCTTCCAGATGTCGAACCTCGGAACCGCGGCTCTAGAGTATCACTCCCTCGGGTCGAAACCGACGCTCCTGCAACTCCCACTCCTTCAGTCGTCAACAAAATCGTCAGGGTGCCCACACGAGCTACGTGATCAGAGCTCCCGTTTTCTTGCGGGACCTCCTCTACCACCACACTCTTGCAAACTGGGCGTAACTGCACCTGCGCACTGCTACCTGAATCTCCATGCGCAGGAGTACCATTCTTCATTGTGCTGAACGATGAACCCACACGAGTTGCAGATAGTTGCTTGGAAACCCACCCTACCGATGGATTTACTTCAAACATCCAGAATGGTCACCTATGCGAAAAAGTTTGAGCTACATTCGCCGCCCACGTCGGGGCATCTCGAGGAGAAGACTACCATATGTACGTATCCATTAAGTATTGTCTGTGGCGTCGGGGCATCTCGAGGATAGTCTATGGGGTAGGGGCACTGTCGTCGGAGGTTTGGCAACTTGAGAAATGGTTATGTTTGTCATGGTGTAATGATGACATAGAAAGTCCGACAATCTGGAAGCACCCACGATGGTGTGGGCGATTTTACAGATGTTTTCGTCGGCTTGTGCTGATGGAGGGGATACCCACTCCGACTGGTTTCCTTCATCGGATTGAATCTCATTCATCCGGTCCTCGGGGCCCCTGCCACGACGCTCTCAACCTTCTGCCCGTTGGTTTGATGCCGGTCTCTGCTTATCGACTTTTTACTGCCCTAAATTGCTTCCATTGTGTTTATTTTGAAGTGTGCGTTGGATTCTTGCAACTGTTGGCAGCTCACTATTCTTTGTTCTCCGACACCTTCAATGGCATATACTTTTTTTGAAGATGTGGGCATTTTCTTCTGATCTTGGCGTGGTTTGTGGTGTTGGTATTGTTGTTTGTATTCTAGAATTGGTGTTAGTTTCACATATTGGTGTCTTTGCTCGTGGTGGTCTTGGCATTTGTGGTTGATTGTTCTGGACCTTTGCAGCTATGCTTGGTGAGCATGGCAAGGCATGTTGTTAAACCACTTATGGTTACCATATATTTCATCTTGAGCATGGCTGACTGGTCATCTTGCCACTTCCATTTATTGTTGATTTGGCTAAGGCTCGGTTTACAGGATGGACAGAATCAGTTGTCCCACCACTTCCACTTAACACTGTTTTTAACAATTGCAGTTGCTAGTTGTGCCCACTTTGTTTTGATGCAATTGATGATTGTTGTTGCTTTTGAAGATTGCTGTATTTTTCGCACAGTTTTTTACACAAGATAGTTGCAATTGCTCTTTTAACATGTATCCAATTTTTTAATTCATTGTGTTTTCTATTACACAAATCATATGTATATAAAGAGAATACATCCATAAAATTGACTTGTCAATGAAATTTCATCTCCAAGTGTTCTATCTTCATTCTATCTTGAATAGACACCTTAAATAAATCATGTGATCTTGGACCTACTTTCATACATTTTTGAAGAATCACAATACTTTTCAATGGATCTATAATTGTTGATTCATTTCCAATCTACAAATGAAATTCATTATCAAATATAATACACAAAAATATTGTATCATTCAAAAATTCTAAAAATGAATAGTCTTCTAAAATGCATACATTTAAGAGTTTTTTTTTAGCAAATAATTGATTTTCATGACATATATCTTCTAAATGTATAATTTTGATCAACTTGCATATTTTAATGTTAGACCAAATCTTTAATTCTTGGAAAGAATCATCAACAATTTCATGTGATAAGTATCTATATGTACATAGGTAAGAAATATTAGATAGAAGATAAATATAGGTGGATTTGATATTATCTAGTAGCAAAGCTTTTTAGAGGCTTTATAGACACAACTTTGACTTTAGAATTTTTTATAATTGATTAATAGGTTAAAAACTTGGCCAATAAGTTAGCCATATGTTACACATATTAGTAGTTTGTGGAATAAGCTAACTATGTGGTATTGTCAAGTATATGAATCTCAAAGAAAGAAATCCTCAATACACTCTTGTGACATTGAAATGAACTAGAAAGTCACTCAAAGATGATATATGTCACGGCCATAATCATGTAAGCTAATAATTACATATAGAAATAGGTAGAAGTAAGTAAAAGTAGATAAAAGTAAGTTAATTCTATAATATTTAATATAGAAGCTTCCTAGAAACTTCCTAGACGCTGCTTTGACTTCATAGGTGTCTTTAATTGACTTTTTGGATTAGAAACGTGGTCAACAAGTTGGCCATGTGCCACACATGTTGTTAGCTTGAAGATCAAGCTAACTATGTGGCCCACACGTAAAAAAACTTGCCTTATAAGTCAAGGCATGTGTCCTACAAAGTCAACACATATTGGAGGTCCTATTGAACGTCGCCACGTAGCCCCTAGTTAGATAGTATATATAGAGACAAGAGTGAAGGCTTCTTCACTCTTGTCAACTCCTTTCTTGCTTCTAGTCCAAGTTCAAGAGTCTTTAGTTTCTTGTCTTGTGGCAATAGCCATTCCAGTTTCCTTTTAATATACCTACTTGTTTATATTTTGACTTATTATATCGAGATAGCCTTTTGGTGTATATTTTCCCTCATCGACTCTTTGTCCTTGACAGATTGACAAGAGTACACTTACAATATCAGAGCTTTGTTTTTTCTTGAGTAAGAGTGGATTACCCCTTTCTCTTGACAAGACATAAGCGTATTAGAAGTTTGCGGATTACCCACTTCTAAACTGATATTGTTTTTAGTATCTTCTTTATTATCAAGTCTTTCTTTTCTTTTGTCTTGAGCAATATCAAACAAATTTTTCTTCTTAGTGTCATTATGGCAGAGCTTGTTGAAATGAAGAGTGCAATGGCACAAATGCAAGAGCAAATGAGGGAGTTAATGCTTGCGATGCATCAACTCAATTCACCAACACAGGAAAGAACAAGAATAGCAGAAAGTGGAGATATTGAGATGATCGGAGCTGCTTCAACATCTACAACAAATCACGTTCCTTCTCCAATTGTACAACATCCTATAAGCACTAGAGAACCAAGAATTGCCTTACCTGAGAAATTAGATGGTACGAGATCAAAGTTTCGAAGGTTCATCAATCAAGTACAATTGGCAATTGAACTTCAACCGCAAAGCTATCCAATTCCAGGATCACAAGTCAGGTTTATTGGCACTCTACTTTCTGGTTCTGCATTATCGTGGTTTTCGTCTTTTCTTGAACAACGAAATCCAATATTGGATAATTTGGAAGCTTTTTTGGCGGAGTTTCGATCTATGTATGGTGAACACGATGCAACTCGTGTTGCAACAAATAAGATCCGAATTCTGCGACAAAGAAATCGCTCAATAACAGTATATGCTTCACAATTTCGACAACTTGCAATTGACATCAAGTGGGATGATGCTGCACTCATTAGTCAATTTCTTTATGGATTGCAATACGAAGTAAAGAAATTGATGCTCAACTTACCTGATCCTCAAACTTTGAGTCAAGCAATCGATTTTGCGGTAAAATGTGATAATCGACTTTTTGAATTTCGATCCGAGAATCATTCACGGGAACCTCAACGTTATTACTCAATGGCAACATCAACATCTTTGTCAAACGTACATTCAGAAGTAGAAGACATGCAAATTGACGCGGTACGTTTTAAACCCCTAACTGAGCAAGAAAAGATTCGTCGTCGTCAAGAAGGATTATGTTTATATTACGGAGAACCTAAGCACACTGCTCAAAATTGTCCAAAGAAACGACGCAACTATAAAATGAGGGGTACGACGGTCAAAGAAGACAACATGTCGGAAAACGGATTCGTCCAGCTACAATAGGGACCGTGCAGCTGGAACCTTGTACAATTCCTAATGAAGGTCCTATCCTCTCCTCAGAACCCTCTCCTTGTTTTATAATAGACTTATATTTAGGACCTAAGAATTACAAAGCCTCTGCTTTATTAGATTCGGGAGCCTCAGCATGTTTTTTAGATGAACAATTTGTTAAAAGTCGTAAAATACCCTTTGTATAGAAACCTAAACCAGTACATGTAGAAGTCATAGATGGTCGTCTCTTGTCTTCTGGAGATGTCACTCATGAAACTCATCCTATAAAAGTAACAATAGACGGTCATGATAGCTACATAGCTTTTAACATAATTAAATCCCCGTCCAATCCAGTTATTTTAGGTTTATCCTGGCTAGAAAAATATAACCCTCGAATAGATTGGAATTCGCGTAAACTTGACTTTTCCCAGAGTGTTATTAATAGTTCTACCAACCAAGTAAAAAATTATAAGTCTAGTATAGTAAAACCCGTACTGATAGGTGTAAAAGCATTTATACACGCCGCAAAAGAAGGATCAACTTTTGCTATTTATGCTGCACATATTTCTGAAAACGTAAAGACTTCAATTGGCATTCCAAGTCAATATCAGGAGTATCAAGACGTTTTTGAGAAAAAGAATGCAGATATTCTTCCTGAGCATCGCCCATATGATTGTTCAATCGACCTCAAGGAAGGAACTCAGCCACCATTTGGACCAATTTACAGTTTATCGCAAGATGAGATGGCTGAACTCAAGACATATATTGACGAGAATTTAGCAAAGAATTTCATACGCCATTCAAAATCTCCAACAGGAGCTCCAATTCTATTCGTAAAGAAAAAAGATGGATCTTTACGAATGTGTGTTGATTATCGAGGACTCAACAAGATCACAATCAAGAACAGGTATCCATTACCTTTGATATCAGGACTCCTTGACCAGTTGAATTAAGCTAAGATCTATACAAAAATAGATCTAAGAGGAGCATATAATCTAGTACGGATCAAAGAAGGAGATGAATGGAAGACTGCGTTTCGAACAAGGTATGGACATTTCGAATATAATGTCATGCACTTTAGACTCACGAATGCACCAGCTGCTTTTCAACATCTCATGAATGATGTATTTCGTGAATTCTTAGACAATTTTGTCGTCTGCTATCTAGACGATATCCTGATCTATTCTAAGAACGTCGAAGAACATGAAATACATGTTCGTCAAGTATTACAAAAACTTAGAGATGCAGGATTATATGCCAAGATAGAAAAGTGTGTATTTCACACTACTCAAGTTGAATTTTTAGGATACATCATTTCAAATGATGGTCTCATGATGGATTCTAAGAAAGTCCAAACAATCATGGATTAGAAGATTCCAAGGACAGTAAGAGATGTCCAATGTTTCTTGGGATTTGCCAATTACTATCGGATCTTCATCAAAGATTTCTCACGAGTTGCAGCTCTACTTACACGCTTGACTAGTAAAGATAAATTCCAATGGAATCAAGAAGCGGAAGCAACATTTGAAGCCTTGAAGACATCGTTTGTCTCTGCACCAGTCTTATATCGTGTTGATTTTTTCAAGGCATTTTTTATGGAAACAGATGCATCAGATTTTGCCTTGGGTGCAGTTTTATCACAAATGGGAACAG